AGAGAGAGAGAGAGAGAGAGAGAGAGAGAGAGAGAGAGAGAGAGAGAGAACATATATCCCTTTGAATTTTTTTTCCCTCCATAATGGAATTATGAGCTGCATGTTATGTGTGGTAAAAGTATAATGCCTTTGATGCCAAGCACACTTAAACTTGAATCCTGACTAACCAAGTTCCAGTTTATGATTCCAAGAAAGTTAGCAAAACTTTCTGTGCCTCAACTTCTTCAGCTGAAAAATGGGCATAATGCTATACTACCTACCTACTAAGATTGTTGTGATAAATTCATATACAAACATATTCATAGCAGAGATCTTAGTATAGAAATACGCTCAATAAACAGTAGCTATTATGAACATTCACAGTGTGTCTCCTATGCACCAGTCCTAGGGTCAGACTCTCTGGGACACAGAGATGGATAATGAGTCCTTGTTAGGATACTATCTGGCACACTTGTTTTGTGCCAGAATTCACCTATATAATTGTACTTAATCCTCCCAACAACCTTACAAAGTATTGTTATCTCCATTGTCCAGATGAAGAAACTAAGAAATTAGTTAAGAGACTTGATTCAATTCTCATAACTAGTAATGGAGGGAGGACTAGAACTTGGGTGCTATATGACCCCAAAGCCTGTCTTAATGACCTCACCTCTGTGCTTCCCTTAGATGAGAAGATTCACATTCAGATATATAAAGAGGATGCAGTTAGTAGAATTTCTTTTCTTTTTTTTTTTTTTTTGGCTGAAAAGCAGAGAACTCTAAAAATAGTGGGTTTCACAATCATAGAATATAACACAATACCCCTAAACTGAATTCTCTAATAAGTTCTTGAGCTTTCAGTTTTTGTTCCTTCTTCAAAAGGGAAAATAACAATTGGATTAAGAGTAACATCCATTCTGTATGTAGTGGGTCTGTTATAATTTTCATATATTAATACTTTGGGGGAATTTAAACCTAGCTTTTGATGAGGAGAGGATTCTACAAATGATAGATAGTTGGATGAGACTTAATAGGCAGATTAGATTTGAAGAAGGAAGTACTTCCTAAAATGTTCTTGCCCCATAAAATTGAATAAGGTGTGGTTATTCAATAGTATAAGACTACCTGTCAAAACACCAGCTAATTCTTGAATAGATACTACAGATTAAATTATAGTAAAGAGAAACAATTGTATCTAGAAAGATATAGTAATTACTTTTCATCCTAGAAAATAATAAGAGCAAAAACTTTGATTTCTTCTCGGTAAATGATACTGAGACAATGTAACAGACCTAGAAAACTTATTGTAGGTTCTCCAACTCATGAAAAAAAAAAAGTGTTCTGAATTTTCTCTAAATAAAAAATAGACTCGAAAAGGAAAAAAAGGAACTTTTTTCTATAAGTACAGCTGCCTTGTAGAAAATGATTTATAGACTGCTACAACTCTACTCCTACTATGAGGGCACATTTATCTTTTGCTCATTTGCTCAGAGTTTGAAACTTAAAGCAGATGATTTTAAGTAAAATGATATAAAAAAAAACTTAGATCCTCAAATTGAAAACAGCTAATGCTTAAGATATAGGCTAGCTCAAACTGAAAAATTAATTCATAAGTAACTTTAATACATTTTCACTTTAAAAGGAAGCATTTTCACTTTAAAAGGAAGAAACATTCTGCCATTCATTTTAGAATGAATCACAGCTAAATCTGGAAGATTTTAAGAGATTATCTCACCAGTGTCTTCATTTTGCAGATGAAGAAATTGAGACCTAAAGCACTGTAATTCGGTTACTTCTTTACATTTTTTTCTCACATCGCCATTTATGCCCTTATACTGTGGCTATAAATTCATCATAATTGTTAGTCATCTCACATTTTTCTGCCCTATGTCTGCTACAGCTTCAGGACAAGGACTAGACAGAAAAATTTAAAACCTCCAATACTCATCACTTTTAAACCATTATAACAGTTTTGCTAAACCAGAACTAAATGAGTGAAAGTGAATCAAAGTATTTGTATTTCTGCTGCCTAAATAAGGGTTTTGCCTCACGACTGGTCTACAAACAAGACATCTCTGGCTGTGGCATAATAGGAGCACCAAAAAGGAGAGAGGGGTTTTTTTAAAGTAAAGTTTCATAAATCAAGAAAAATATCTCTAGTGTGTTCTATATAGTTTCAAGCTCGCCTTGGGAGAAAGGAATGCCTTTGAAGAGCAAAGGAGAAGATGGGCTTTAATAGATCTTGAGGATTTCTTCCCACACGAAGATTCCACGAGAATTCAGAACTCAAAATATTTCATTACTGATATCTGAATTTATCAAAGGAAAACAGCAATAAGAATTAAATTTCTTGATATTAGGGAAATGCTTTCTTATGCGAGGCTTGCAGCTTTTTCACACTCAGGATAGGAGTCAAGGGTCTTTTTCAAAAGGGAAAACCGGAGCACTCATAACTGGTCCGAGATCACACAACGGCTCGGCTACCGGAGCGGAATAAACATCAGCCTCCCCCCATGCACTCGTCCTTCACCAGGACTTGCCAAAAGCAGAAATTAAGCAAAGAAGCTTCAGTATTTAGAAAATGGGCATTATAACCAAACTTTTAAGAGTTATACCTTTATTTCCGGAATTCTCTGATAACTGACCTCTAGGGCAAGTTCAGCCCTACGCAGGTTCCTGCCCAAGCGAGGTCCTTTGAGGGAAGGGACAAAATAGGTAAGGAGGTAGTTGGCCAAGCGCAGCCCTCTGGGAAAATCTCCCCGGCTGGCCCCCTTTGCAGCTGGCAGACCCCGCGCACCTGCAGGGCGCTCCGCGCGTCGCTCACCTGCATCAATGCCCCTGCCCATCCTTTCCCTCCGGAGGCACTTACCTGGGGCGCCTGCCGGTGCCTGGCTCCTGAAGGTGGCCGTCTCGGCCCATCCCGGTTGCGACAAGGGCCTGCTCCAGGGTCTAGGGGTCCCAGGCGGCAGGTAGGAGAAGTTGAATTTCCGTCGAATCGCTACCCGCCTGAAGTTGTAGCCGCCCTCGCTGCTCATGGTGTCGGCTTCGCTCCCGGCTCTGCGCTGTCTCCAGCCCTGGTCTGGACGCAAGTGCGCGCTCGGCGGGCTCCTTTGGGACATCGGGACCCGGGAGGGTGTTGCCTTCATGCCCACGCTCCGCGCGACCCGAGAGGGCGACGCCCGGGTTGCTCTGCGCCGGCACCCCTCTGCTCCAGCGTCTCCTCCGCAAATGCCTCCTCGTCCCTTCCTTCCCGGGACGCCCAGGGCCGCGCCAAGAGTCTGGCACTCAGTCCCTGCGACTCCCGCACTCACCTGACGCCGCTACTGCAGTGGCCCGCCCGAGGCTGCCTCCACCTCCTCCTCTCTGGAACCAATGGCTGGTGGCCCCCGGGGGCGGGACGAGGAGAGCACAGACAGTTCAGGCTGTTTGCGCTGCCAAGCCACCGCCGCTGCCTCTTCCTCCCGCCCGGGAAGCTGCCAAGAACTCGCTGTGCCTAGTGGAACGCCCTGGGCGCGGCAGCAGAGCAGATTCGCCACTAGTGATCCCTCCCCGCTGCGCCCCGCCCCGCCCGGCCTCTCCGAGCTCGCTCATTGGCCGAGAGGAACTGCGCGGCGCTCACCTGCGGCCGCACACCTGGGGTGCTCAGAAGGTCAGCCGCGCTTACCCGCAAACCACGCACTGGATTTGGGGGAAAAAAGAAGATAATTACAGCCCCTCTGGACTCTGCCCAAAGGCTTGCCATTCTCACAGACCCACACGCCACGGGTCATACGTGTGTCCCAAGCCGCTGTACTTAGCCCTTGATAATAATCTTATTTATGTGGTGGAACTATCCAATGGGTTAAGTATTTCAGATAAGAGAACCGAAGTGCGAAACAGACACTGAGTCACATAGCACTACAGAGCTAGGATTCTTACCCAGGTCTCTGCACCAAGGTCTGTCCTTATCTCACTGAATTAAATCATGTTGCCAGGAGCATCAGGCCACAAAACGCTGAAGGTGTGTGTGGGAGAGAAAAGGGAGCTAACAATCTACAGGTTCCAGGAGAATATCAAACTCTCCATCATCATGAACTTTCAGGACTTTATTAGTAATACACTATAGAGTCCTTTTAATTTGTCAAGTAATTTTTTTTAAACATCAGCTAAATACCAAATTGAAGAAAATACATTTTAAATTGGTTTGCTTACCTAAATTTTAAAATTCACTACTCTCTCTAATAATAGAGGGTCCAAAACCACAGAGATAGGAGGGGAAAGGGCAGCATTCTAAGTGCCCCAGCTCAAGCAGAAAGAATTCACCAACCATCACTTCCGCCTTGGAAGCCGATCCACATTTATTCAAACGGTCCTTCACCCAGGTAACATCTACACCATGCTCCCTGAAGGAAAGCCCATAACACACTCTTCCTCAAGAAATCCTTTAGGAGGTCAGTTCAACTGTCTCAGCCTCCTTGGCTGCTACTCCAATAAATATACTCCTGAGGAGAAGGAACTATGCCCCTAAGTTTTAATGCATTTGTTCAGACCTTGTCAAAAGGAGCTTTTGTTCCCTTCAGATTTATTATCCCTGTATCACTGCACTGCAGCTAATCATTGTTAATTTTTCTGTGTAATTGCAGTGTTATTTACTGTGCCATGTAGTATCAAAAATGATTTAAACAAGCAGTTTCAAATATAAATTAATACCAAAAGAGGTTTTACCTCCATATACATAAATTAACTATAATTGAAATGTACATTTCTAACAAAATTTATTTGCTTCAATAAGAGAGTGTTGTTGCAGTGATTAATACTGAACTAGCAATCTAGTTTAGAGTAAACTATTTTTAAGAGAGAAGACACTGGCGATCTTCTCTCTTAAAGAATTGGTTACTAATGAAGCTTAAAGGAACCCCTCCTCCCAAATTCTTTGTCAATAGATGCTCACCCTTTCTGTAGAGAACTGCTGTAAACACATCTGTATAGGGCAAAATGTATTTTACTACAAGCATTTGGGGCAGCAGTTTAATGCTTCTTCATTTGGATATTTTGAGTTGTTTATGTTATATGTGTTTCTGTTACTTGGTTCAAGTTGCTCACATTTGCCTTGTAATATATTAGTTCACATTAGTGGGTGTTTGAACTTCCAGATAGAATTTTTTATAACATATTATCTGACATACCTCTATTGATATTACTGCTGCTTACTACTTTCAGATAAAAACAATTTCTAAGGCAGTTTGTATATAATGACCACATTTTGCAACACTAAGTGAATGAGTCAACAGAACTTTATTTGATCTCAAGTTATCTTAGAGTAGAACAAAGTACTGAATATCATCTTATAGGCTTAATATACTATTTTATTTGTTTATATAGCTAATAGGAGGTTTGTCACTAACTCATTTACACATATTAAGTGGGAACTGTGCTGGGTCCTGAAATACAGAGTGGTACACAATACACAAGTGCTTATGCTCCATATCTCTGTGGCTGAGACAATGCTGAATGCTGACTGAATCATCTATCATTTTCCTTGGGGATGCGAGAAGACTGATTTAAACCTTCCTTTACAGTTAGTTGAGCAGAAGTGATGTGTATCACATAAAAACCTGACTTCTGCGCCCTTGCCATGAAACTCTCTACTCCTCCTCTCCAACTGACAGCTGGAGTGCAGCAGGGCTGGTAGAGAAACCTGGAGTCCTAGACCATGGAGGAGTCACTATATACAGAGGAGCTGATGCCCCCAGAATCACCCTTTTCCTAAGAATTAATATAATCACAGGAGGAGTATGAACTGATTCATGTTCCTTAAATTTTATTCTTATATTTTCCAGTGTAGCAAAAATTATATGTATATGGATGTCTCAATTCTAATTAAAATGTTTTAAACCAGATTCCATTTAATTTTATTAACATAACTAGTCTGATTGTTCTAGTCCCTAATAAATGAAATAAAACCAAAAAAATACTCAGAAGAAAAGTAATAAATCAATAAGCTGCTTCAACTACTGATAAAACATCACTTCCCAAACTAGAATTTAATAGAAATCAACACTTTATAGTAGATTTACTCTTATTTTAATCTCACTAGGAAAGAACTTCATCCACTTTAATAATAAATTGTGTTATTTCCTCAGTAAATGAATTATAAATGTATTATTTATTTTGATGCTACCACTAGGTGGGAATTCATATAAATGTCATTAAAGTATGAAAGGTCACTAAGTCATGAATCATGCAGACTTTATGCAGTAGCATCAGGGGGCTGACGTACAGAAGATCATTTCATGGAGACCTAATTGAGTAACAGGAACTTAGTAAATAGTATATTTTGAGTTGGTGCAGACTGAGATTTTGATAAAGTTTCATATATATGTGAAATCATATATATGCAGATTGTATAATTTCTGACACATTATTTTAATTTCTCTGTGTATATTTTGACTGGGTATTATTGCATATATAATGACTTTTGTAAGGAAATATATATACACCCTCTTAGAAGTTGCACAAATTTGAGATGTCACCTGAAACTGTCATGGTACAAGTTTGGCCTTGTACTTAAATTTACCACTATTGCTCTCTCAAAGGAAGTGGTCAGTCAACATATTTTTAAATTCATTTGGAAACTGGAAAGAAAACAGTTACTTTCTAAAGCACACAGTCTCTGGCATCACTAATCCCATATTTCCGTGAGATTAGGAGTGGGGCACACAACTTGAACCTGGCCTATCAGAAGATTCCTAAAAGAAGTCAGAATTAAGAGAGACTCAAAAGATGGATAGTAGGCCTGGCAAAGGGGATAAAGAGCTACTCCAGTGGAAGGAACAGGACATACAAGGAAGAAGGGGAAGGAGGGAGGGAAAGAAACAGAAGGACAGAGAGACCAAAATGGTACTTCGGGGCATGGGAATTGAGAAATGAAGCTGGAGACGAAGTAAGGTCTGATCATTAGGGATCATGTACATCATGGTAAAGAGTTAGGACTTTATTCTGATAACAAGAAAGCGATTTTTAAGAGTTTAAGTAAGAAGTGCTGTCAGGTTTGCATTTTAGTAATCACCTTAGCTGTCCACATCCCTTATTGTTAGGCCATTGGAGTTTTTAAAATCTGATCAATTCTGAAATGTTTTATCTCAAAGGATACTACCTCTATGATTGACTGACTGACTAAATGAATGAATGAATGAAATATTTGAGAAATTTACTTGAATCGGGCACATAGAGGAAGTTTTAGAAAATATTTTCTATCCCTTAGGGATAGATTTTCACATCTTTCTGCTGCCTACATCATGTTTTGTTTGTTTTTGTTTTTGTTTTTGTTTTTGTTTGATTTTTGGTTAGTTCTTGTTGTAGTGGTTTTATGATTTGTTTTGTTACACATCTCATACACAAATGCTGCTGAACTATCTCACTGGTTGCCAGGACAATTAGAGCATAGAATAATGGAATGCAATTCTGTATTACTACTTTCCTCTTTCCTGACCAGGAAACACAAAGCTAAGATTCGGAATATGTACTCGGGCTTTCCAGATGTTATTGACTATTTTGGTTATTTAATTGGTAATAGGTATTGATATAAGACCACTGCATGCTTTCCATAGACCAGTTCGGTGCTATGAAACAGTAAGCTGTGAAGTGAGCAGGCCCAGAGTATAAAGATAAATTTATTAGTCCCAGAGGCAACATTTATGGATTATCTAAATATTCAAGCATAAACTCCATTTCATCAGATCTAAGATGCCATCAACTGGAAGAACCACTAAGGAAGAAATTCTGCTAGTTTAAACCATGACAAATGTTTTAATGATTATTCAAGAATCTTGCTACTGTGAAATTTCTTTTATCTATTTAAAGGAATTTGGCAATTTCTTCGGCCTTTAATTGTATTGCTTGGAATGTGATAGAAAAACATTTAGTATATCTGGAGAAATAATACAGATTTATCTACTTATAAGTACCTTCTTTTCTTAAGTCCCATAAAGTGCTATTTTTTTTTGCAAGGAAATATAGTAATATAGTCATTCCTCCAACAAGTATTTGGTAATATCACATTTGCACCCATTGCTCTGTTTTTGTGCCTTTTTGTATATACTCTAAGATTTTTTAAAATTTAATTTTATTAGTTTCAAGTATACAGTACATCGGTAAGACATTTATATAGTTTATAAAAGGATCCTCCTAATCGCTCTTTCTCTCCTGTGGCTCTCCATAAGATTTTTTAATTCCACTTTATAATGAAATCTCTTTGGAGACATTTTCAATGCATTTAAACCTACCACATGAGATCTACAATGAACAAACTCAATGATCATGAGGTAGCTAAAGGAGTCAGACTCTTAGAAATAGAAAGTAGAAAGGTGGTTGCTAGGGGCTGGGGGGTGGGGGAAAAGGGAGCTGTTCAATGAGTTGGACGTTTTAGTTTTGCAAGAGGAAAAAGCTCTAGAGTCTGTTGCATAAGAATGTGCATATAGTTAACAC